TTGAGAAAAGCAAAAATTTCCCATCAATACCTGAACCAAAATTAGGCTTCCCTATGATACAAAATTGGGCTACCAGGAATGAAAATAATTAAAATTTATTTAATAGCATATTGTCTTATACTAAGGTGAAAAACAATACTTACTGAAAGCCTCCAAACCTATCCTCTGTGCATTCTTCTGATACTATAAAACCCATTCATTCTGCCAGACACTGTTCTAAACCTAACTCATTTAATTTTAACAACTGAGGATACACCTGGGTGGCTCAGTCAGTTAAACATCTGCCTTCGGCTCAGGTGGCAATCTCAGGGTCCTGGCATCGAGCCCCGCCATCAGGCTCCCTGCTGAGTGGGGAGTCTCCTTCTCTCTCTCATTCTCCCTCTATGCGCTCCCTCTCTCAAATAAATAAATAAAATCTTAATATAATAATAACTTTAACTCAATGAGATAGATACTATTACCATCCCCATTTTACTCATAAGCAAACTGAGGCAGAAAGGGGTCAAATACTTACCCAGGTCATACCCAGACAGAGTCAGGCTCAAATCTCAAGCAGTCTGGCATCAGGGCCCAAGCTCATAACCACTACACTATAAAACAGCCTTCAATCTGCTTTTCTAAAATGTTTCTTAAGTAGCTCTTTTCTGCCTGTGCAACACAATTTCAGTCCTACAATATACCGCAAGGCCCATATACCTAACTTATTCCTGATTTTTCTAACAAAATCTCTAAATCAATTTTCCTCCAAATATATCCTAGAAGTAGTAACTTATAAGGAGACTCAAAAGAATTTTTTTAAATAGACTTTTTTTTTAATTAAGAACAAACAGAGAAAGTCCCGACAGTGACAGTGTAATTTCAGAATTCTTTTGTACTGACCTAAGATTCATAACTGCTTTAGATCAAATGAGATGAAAATTTGAATTTTTTTGGTACATTGGTGTCCAAGTCAGATGATTTTAACTTGTATAATTTTTAATTGCAAATGATTATCTTTACCACTGATCTAATATAATTTAATTCATCAGTATTTACTGGGACCCCAATACTAAAAAGCACTCCACAGAACACTGTGGAGGTCAACTGATACTTATAAGATATTGCTTCTACTTTCAAGGAATTTTCTAGCACAGCATTTCTCATATTAAACCAGGATATATTAACTACCTAGGTTCTACCAAATTCCAGATTCCTACATCCCAGGGTGAGAAGAAGTATGTGGTAGTAATGTAGTAGTACCTCACTGTGGTCTACTGAACCCAAAGTCACAGTGATTTTTTTTTCTCCCTCATTTTTTCCTATCAGTTTTGTAATTTTAGCTCATATGTAGGCCTATGATCCAGTCTGAGTTAATTTTTGTATATGGTGCCATGTAACAGTTGAGGTTCATTATATTGCACATAGATGTCCAATTGTTCCAGCATGATCTGTTGAAAAGATTGAGACCAGTGCATTTTAATGTAACAGAGCACAAAAAGTTCATTGATACAGTTTCAGATTCTATACTGCAACTAATCTTCTAAGAAATTACAACTAACTGAAAAGGGTATTAAAGTACCTCTCTCTTTTTAAACTATATATCAGTGTGCCTGGATAGTCTTCATATATTCAAAACAACACATCACAACAGATTGAATGAAGAAACAGAAATGAGAATCCAGCTGTCTTTTATTAATCTAGACATTAAAGAAATTTGTAAAAAATGTAATACAATGCCAATCTTAACTAATTTTTTTAGAAAGGTTATTTTTCATAAAGTATTTAATTTGTATTAGCATGTAATGGGGCTTTTTTAAAAAAGATTTTATTCATTTATTCATAAGAGACACACAGAAAGAGAAAGGAAAGGCAGAGAGAGAAGCAGGCTCCCTATGGAGCAAGAAGTCTGATGTGGGACTTGATCCCAGGACCCTGGGATCATGACCCAAGTGGAAGGCAGACATTTAACCAACTGAGCCACCTAGGTGCCTCAGAATGGGTTTATTACAGTTATTTTAAATGAAGTAATAAATTAATACTTAAAAATTTTTTCTCAGTTCTAATTTCAAACAGTAAATACCAATAGATATAACCCACAAAAATAAAAGCACTTCGGTGTCCTCAATAATTTTTAAGAATGCAAAGGAGTACTAGACCAACACTAAACTGCCACCATCTCTCCTCAATCACTAAATTACCCTTAGAATAGCTAGAGTAATAGATCTAAATGCAAACTGGGGGCGCCTGGATGGCTCAGTTGGTTAAACGTCTACCTTCTACTCATGTCATGATCTCAGAGTGCTGGGATGGAGCTCCGCATCATGGGGAAGTCTGCTTTTCCCTCTCCCACCCTGCTCATGCACACACTCGCACGCTCTCAACTAAATAAATAAGTCTTTACAAATGTTAATAAGAAAATAAATGCAAATCTGATCGGGTCAAACTTCTGTTTAAGTCCTTTCAACAGCATCCTGCTCTTCTCAGCATCAAGGCTAAGATGACCCACAAATCCTGCATGATCAAGCTTCCCAGTCTTTCCTAGCTCCATTCTCCTCCTTCTTTGAAATAATAGTCTTTTTACAGTGGAGTCCTTAAATGTACCAAGCTCCACCTGTTCCCAGGGTCTTTGCATTGCCTCTTCCTTAGACCTGAAATGTTTCTCCCTCCTCCCGTTTGCCTAGTTCATTCCTACTCATCCTCAAGACCTTAACTCAAAACTTTATTACCTGATCTTCCTTATTCCCACCCTTGGATTAGATCAGGTTCCTCTTTTATACATTCTTTTGGCTCTCTGCACATTTCTCTCATAGGCTTTTTCAGTTGGGAGTTTATACTCTGGGGATTATGTGATTTAATAGAAATAATTATACATAAAACTATCAAATAAAATTTTGCCTATATGTCATATGCATTTTTCTAAGATCAATAGTTTATTGGGTTCTCAACAGTTCTCTTCAAACTCTCAAAGGAGTCCATGACCCCTGGGTAGTGAAGAACCAACCTTACCCAAAGACAGGTCTGGCCTCTGCCTTTGGCTACTGGGAGGTGGTATACTGGCCTCTGGAACTTCTTACCTAAGAGGAGTGTCTTTCTTTGCCTGAGGACTTTGGCCATTGGACAAATGTGATTTATAGTGGAGGCTTTGAGCCATACATTATCAGTTCCAATCCTGAGAGGAAATGGGAGAAAGCATTAGTGTGACCTACAGAAGGGGCCAGATATACTAACAGTCAGCCAGGCAGGCAGTTTGTAATTGTGCCCCCAAAATACTCTAGACACCAAAGATTTCGGTAAATTTCCCTAGTTGGCAATACCCTTTGTGTACTGTCATATACTGTGGCCAGGTCATGAATCCATTGGGAGATGATGACAAGAAGTTTTATATTTGGTCTCTTGAGAATCTGCCCATGTGTCTCTTTCTTTTGGCTAATTTTAACCTGCACTCTCGCCCTGTAGTAAATTTTAAGTATAATAGCTTTCAGTGAGTCTGTGAGTCCTTTCTAGTGAATTATCAAACATGAATGTGGGTCATGGGGGCTCCTAGACTTGCAATTGGTGTCTGAAATGAAGACAGTCTTGTAGTGACTGTTCTCTTAGACTTTGCAGTTTGGCTAAACTTATTACAACCCCAATAAGATTAAAAAACCACAGGTTAGTCCATGAGTTCCTGGAGAGCAGAAACTTTACCAATATGACATGTAACAAAAATTTAAATATTTGAAATAAATTGATACTGTTAGGATAGCAAAATTCTCTAATAACAATAGCAATAATATTAATGATGATGAAGATGATAACAACAGTGGCCATTTACTGCACGCCTTTACTTAGTCCCCATGTACAGATGAGGAACATAAGGATGAGAGTGAAATGACTTGCTCAAGATCATACTAGTGACAAAGACAGTATGTAAGCCCTGATTTAACTAATGTTAAAGCCTATGCACTTTCATGTATTGTATCTCCCAAGACAAGCAAATGAAGTTTAATATTGTGTTTTACAAAGGACAAACAGAAATACCTAGCACTATCACCACTAAAATGGTATTATTAAGGAACAACAACTGTTAGCACAGTTCAGGAATGCAGAATACTTAACTTTCTCTCTTTTAACTAAGACTATAGACATAAGCATTCTGATGCTTGCTTACAGCTTGCGTTTGAAATTCTTCTAAATAGAATATGAACTACATAGGTTAAAAACAAAGAAAAAGCTAAGCTACGTATTACTATTAAATGCTAAACACAAACTGCAAATGCCTGAGGCGGACAGATAACATTTCTGCCACGAAAATCACCATATATAGTACCCTAATTTGTAAGCTATGGGCATCAAGCTCTTTCTTACATTTTTCTCTACAAATGTTCTATTCTCTCTACAGATTTCTCTCACAACCTAGAATTGTCCTAATAGCCTCTAAGAAAGGCTAAAGGGAACTAGAATCTGTCAGTTCATGCAAGACCAGCTGGATTGTTTCAAGCTGAATATTGTACTCAAGGTCTTAAAAGGCCTTTCCACCTTGAAATTAGACCTGTTAATTAAGAGATAAACACAGATCTTACCCCAAAATATATAGAGGAGTATAGTAACGAGGAGACACTCTGAATTAGAGCACTTTTTATTTTTAATAATCCTAAGAAAAACACAAGAAGGTGTTCAGGTAACTGGTTGTAATTAATTGGCTTTATGTAGGTCCAGAGCAAACGTTACATAATAAATGCTACTGGTTGAAATTACTTTAGAATTCACTATCATACTTGTACTAGATATGAAAACCAACAGTCAAGTTGTGCTATATCAATTCTGGCAAACCAATCACAGTAATAAAAATGTCTGAAGAGTGGATCAGTCTGGGTATACATTAAAAATGAATCATTAAAGGAGTACTGAGTCATGTGAAATACAAGCAATATGAAGGAGAGAAAGTGAACATAAGTAAAGCATAGGAAAGGAGGAGGACACACTCATGAATCAGACACACACTAATGCCCGCAAATAACCCACAGAGACAGAGAAAGTACCTGGAAAGCTGTGAGTGCGCCAGTCCCTGGGTTATACAGGCATCGCAGCGAAGGCATGCTGTCCGCCAGGCTGGAGCAGCCCAGCCACAGAGACCTGGGCATAGAGCACTGCAGAGAGAGGACAACTATGAGATGGGACAGTATGAGACAGGATGGCACAGATTACAGGAACTTTCAAGGCTTGGCTGAATGCAATATTCCAGTTGCAGCTGGCCTTTACGATAGAAACATTTTCAAGAAAAATACTACTTACTATTTCTAACCCCGGAGAGAACCTTGAAAGGGGCACAAGTGGCCAAAAGGCAAGGGGAAAGAAAGGAGGTTATAGGTAAAACAAAACAAAAGAAACAAACAAACAAACAAAAAATAGTAAAAATTGTTGTCTCTGTTCTTTTATGTATGAGTCTAAAGGAAATCTACTTCTTAATCCAACTAATCAATTCTTTTCCTCTGTGTACCTCAACTCATCTACCATAAATTCACCACAGGATGAATTACTGTACAGACTAAAAAGAAAAAGAACACTTCATGATAATTTCATTATCAGGAATGGTAAAGTAGAAAACAAAATACAACAGGAAAGTTGGGGGTTTTTTTTAGAAGGTGAGGAAAAGGGAAAGAGAAAGTATTATACCCCCCCCAGCAGCTGACAGCAGCCAACTCTGCACAGTTTGCATATGTTTTATGTATCTTGTTAGTCTGCTATTCATTAACCAAAATGCATAGTTACCATAGCAGCTGCCTCTTCCATCTTTCCAGATGGATTGGGGGGTGGGGTGGGGAGGAGGACAACCCAAACAGAAGGGAAAACAACAACAAAGAAAGAGAGAGAGAGACAAGGACAGAAAAAGAGAAAGAGAAAAAGAGAACCAAAAGTTGCTGGTATTAAAATCTTCTAAATAAAAAGGTACATGTGAGTGTAAATATACAAATAATGTATTCAGTAGCAAAAAGGGTAAAAAGGATTTCTAGTAACACTAGTTAAACAGTATTAGTGTTATTGCTCCTATAGTCTTACAAAACACTATTTTTTAGAAGAATTTTTACATTCTTCAAGTTTCTCTAAATGTATTCCAGGCTGAGGTTTGGTCCATCAACATCTAACAGTACCAAAAAAATTAAATACCTGATCATAGCATATATGAAAACAGCAATACATTATTTTAAAATACAGCAGTCAATACACATAATATTAAACTTGAAATTGTAGGTCTTAAAATATTAAATATCATCATGGGACTTTTTTATTCTTAAAATATTCTAGATACAGAAATTAATATTAGGAAACAAAATATGGTATTCATTGGTCACACTCTAAAACTGATATAAGGATAGTCTGCTACAAAGGACTCCAAAAAAGTGATCAGGTCTAGATGGTGCTTTGAGGTCATTACTTCCTCATTTTATAGTTAATGTTGACTAATGACCTAGAAAAATCGAGGTTTTTATTCGTGATCATGAATTTAGAATGTAGAGAACTAGGAACTGAAATGCTGGCCTATTGCTTCTTAAGTGCTGAACTTAAGTGCTGAACTTTCCTACCTCCATCCATTCCTAGGTCATCATGTGGAGACATCAGACTTCAAAGAAGGTTATTTGCTAAACAAATCACTGGATAACACACCAACCACAACAGCTACACTGCTATGAACTAACACAACAATCTCCTAACTTTGTTCACTGTTTCCAGTATTTCTTCACCTCAAGCTATAATCCATTTTATGAACAGCAGCTAAATAGAATAACTGTGTTCACCTTACTATCATGTCACCCTTCCCAACAATTCTTAATGGCTCCCTTTAACTACTAAATGAAACCCAAGCACTCTATTGATCTGATCTTTCCCAGCTGTCTACATTAACTCACCTCTGTCCTCCCAATTGGCCCTGATGCTCTAGCTCATAACTAACTTGATGTTTTATTCAAATACCCATCTTAGTCCCATCCTGTGAACTTGTAATTTCCTTCTCCCTTTCACCCTGCCAATGTACATCTCTCATTTATTTCAACTCTCCTTAGAATTATTTATACTAATTTCAGTCTTACCCAGTAGTTCTCAGAAGGAGAGATGCTCATGTTTTCAGAAGGCAAGGGAGAAGAGAATAAGAATCACTGTTTTGGGGCACCTGGGTGGCTCAGTGGGTTAAAGCCTCTGCCTTCAGCTCAAGTCATGATCCCAGGGTCCTGGGATTGAATTCTGCATCAGGCTCTCTGCTCAGCAGGGAGCCAGCTTCCTCCTCTCTCTCTGCCTGCTTCTCTGCCTACTTGTGATTTCTGTCTGTCAAATAAATAAATAAAAACCTTAAAAAAATAAAATCATTAATGTAAAAAGCAACAAGTTGTTGTTAGTGAGTTTCTCTCATGGTTAATGAGAGACACTGCATATTATTAAGCAGCTGGTTAAAGTTCTTGCAGATGCCAGGCAGAACAAAGTCTCATTCTGAAGGTGGGACTGAATGTCGAAAAGTAGGACAGTGAGAAGAAGTGAAAATAAATTAAAAAAGAGAATGAAAATACAGAAGAGAAAAAAGGGAATGGTAGAAAGAAAAAGCAGCAGGGCCTACAGGACGGCTTCGCTTCTCCCCTTCCCTTCAGAAAAGGAAGATGGCTCATGCACTTTTAGCCATACTGAAGACACCTGCATGATCTCTTCCTTGTTATTAAATGTGCATATTTGTTTGTATTTGTGAACACTATTTGCTAAGTCTTTCGGTATTCCTCTTTGCAATGTTTCATCTCCTTTTTTCTATATTGGATCCTGTGTTATTGCTGTAGTATGTCCTTGATTATTATGACTTTCTTTACGATTCATCATTTTAATGCTCTTCCTTACTCATTCATTCCTATCCTCCACCGAAAGTCCTAAGAATTTGAAAGGACTTACCTCACCCCCTTAAACTAAAATTTCAAAATAAAATTATAATCAATAATGAGCTACAAACACCCAGGAAAGCCACTAGATACACTGGTATGATTTCCAAAATAGCATTAACTTGCAAACACCACACAGAGGATGCATTTTCAATTATTATGAGACAATTGGTGTGGGTATGAAAAGTGCACTTGGATAGTCAGATCTGCACATTATCATAAGATTTTATATACTATAGCTCAATTTAAAAACCAATTTTCAAATTGGTTTGTATTGTAACAATTAATCTTACCCACACTGGTAAATGCCACTTAAAAACACTGAGGAAAAATTATAATCACAAAATTAATGAAACAGGCTGTAACTTCTACTCTACCTCTTTCCCTTCTATACATTTAGGAGCATCCTAAAGGAAGGGGGAAATCAAAAGAAATCTGGGCAAGAAGTAACAGGGTAAAAAGGAGTGTCATTTTGGTTACTATTCTTATATATTCTATGTATTTCAGGGCCATCCTGATTCATCAATTTCTGACAAAGATCCAAGACTTTTTCTGCCCTGCCATGTTTAATATATAACTCCTTTAAAACCTACCTTTAAAAAACTGAAAAGCACAAATAGTTTCCTACTTAAAGTTTAGGCTGGAAAATATTTAAATTTCTAAGGTTTTCTCTCTACACTTAAAAAAAATTTTAATTTAAAAAAAAAAGCAGATTCTAAACTAAACTGCAATCTAGCAACTATATTCTCATGTTTAAATACTTCTATTAACTGTTAAAGGACTTGTGAATAGACTATTCCTTAAATGTTTCTCCTGCACAATCTCAAAAGCCACAAGAAAGTCTGGATCACCCATGTGCCTTCATCCTATCTACACAGCACATATCTGTCTTCTCAACTCATTCCCCACTTGACCTCACTCCAGATAACTCTACTTTGCAAATATCAAAGAAAGGTAAAGACTATAATAATTTATTACAATTGAAGTTTGTTAGCTGATTGGGTAAGTGCACTAGCTTTTGAGAAGCATAGACACAGCATTTTTAAAAAATGCTCAAACATGTTTTCTACTAGATGGAAGAATCAGAAAGAGATTGAAATGTTGCAACAAAGGGCCTCCAGTGCTTCAAGAAGAATATGCTACCTAGTCCCTTCAGGTCCAACAGCACAAATTCATTTTCACAGAGAACAGTGAAAACCTTGGCTCCTCCCCCTACTTGGCTGCCTGGAGAAAAGTCGCAGTTCCTCTTCAATGATAGAGGGCCCTGTAGGCAAAGGGCTGGCCTCAGCATTTACTACATGAAAGCTGAATGACAAAATCTCCTAAACTCAGGTCCCTGTTGGTCAACTTCTACGAGTAATAGAAGCTATAATAATCAACAATAAAAAGATAGCTGCATTGAGAGTTTGTGTATCCTTAAGCTATGGAATAGAAGAATTCCCTTTTCACTACTCTATCAACTAAAAAGTCAGTCCAAGAGAACTACAGCATTCCACAGGCCATGTAATATATTCAGACTCTACATATACAAATTCAATGACTGCCTCTTAAGAATCCCAATTTAGTTCAATCACTTCAAAAATGAAACTTCCACTTGTCACATAGGATAGTCATGTCTGCCCAGCCTCATTGCACAAAGTTGTGGTAAAATTAAAATAAGAGTGCCAAAAGAAAAAAATGTAAAGTGATGCCATTACTAAGGCTTCCATGAATGTCGATTGTATTTCAAAACATTCGGGAAGCCATTATGAACTGTAGACCATAGAATCAAATACGTATTGTTTTTTACCAGAATGGATACACATGGAGTACAAGGAAAGGAGAACCAAAATTTGTCAGGCATAAACTGTGCTAGATCCTTTAAATACCTTATTTCGTTAAATGATTATAAACCCTATCAAAGAGTTATTAATATTTTCACTGTAACAGTAGAGTAAACTCAAGTTCAGAAGAGTTACAGTGACTACACGGCAATAACAGAAGACCCCAATGTGTTTGTCTCCCCTACACTACACCCTAAGACTCACCACTATAAAGACCTGCTCTCAAGTACTCTTTCTTAGCGAGATAAATTAACCAACACAAACAGTAACTGCAAGGAAAATACAATAACATACGAAATTGTATTTGACAATAGATGCTATATAAGTTTAATTAAAATTTAGACAAGTTCAGACACAGGCTTTATTTTATTGTAGCAATTGTTACTGTATGTAAGTTAATTACATATCTGTCTC